AAGAGGGATCGTTGGTCTCCAGGAGTTCACCAATTAGTCTAAATACCCAATGGAGTGGACTTTTTAGTGAGGGAACGTTCAAAGTTGAGAATGGTGGGACTAAGGCCATGTATAGGCAGTCAGATAAGAATAGGGAGGTGCTGGGTAGCTTTACTGGGGGAAATCAAACTCTACTCCTGGGTCACTTCCTGACCAGGTCAAATAAGATAGCTCTTCACCTACAGGAGTCTTTGAGTGCAAATGGTTAATGTGCTTGGCTGCTACCTGAAGAGTTGGAGCTTGGGTCCACCCAGAGATACCTCAGAAGGAAGGCCTTGCAATCCACTTCTAAAAACTCATTGATAACACTGTGGAGCACTGTTCTACTCTGACACACATGGAATCACCATTGGAATTGACTCAATAAGAACTGGTATTCTCCTCCAAGGTGAAGGGACGGTGACACATCCTGCTAGACCATGTGTAACTTGAGGGCAAGGCCTGTGTGTTATTCACCACTGTATCCCCGGGTCCTAGCATAAAGTCTGACACATTCATCACTAAATAAATGCTTTTAGAATGAATGAATGAATAAGGAAATCCACCATCTTGCCCAGCCTGATTCTCTCCCTCCTTTTCACCTTTGTGGAGAGGCTGAATATATTTTAGAACAGCTGCAGCTGATTCAACTCGTGGGCTTCGGTGTTCACTTTGTAATAAGCTCTATGGTCGACATTTCGTGGACCCGACGTGCAGGGCCAGGGCAGACACAGCAATGTAGCTTCCCACAGTCCCAGTTGAGCACAGGGGTAATGGCTATGAATCCTGGCTGTGGTCATGCCCTATACTCTGACAGCCCAGCGTCTGGTTTCACAGAGACATAAGGGTTAGAAAAGTGAGACTTATGCTGGATTTCTTATGATAGGGAACCTCACAGCAAATGCTGAGAAGAGCCCTAGACATTGAGTGGAGCTGCTTGGTGGAAAACTACAGACTGAGATTCTCACCTCACACCCCAGCCCTGCTGGGGAAGTCCTAAAACCCAAAGGGGAAGCACATGTAAAGGGGAATTTCCCTTTCTCTCCACAACTTCCCCTCCTTCCCCACCACCTGAAGCTGAAGAGGCATCTTCCTCTTGAAGAGGAGTCTCTGAAGGCCTTCTGGCTAGTCTGACTGAATGGCCGAGGGACAGCCATGTGCCCAGCACCATGAGGGCATGCTCAGGAACAGTGATGTGGACCCTGTTCTGGAAAAGCCTCCCTGGCACATGGTATAGGGCACACACATTGATTTAACAAATACCATCTGGTAGCTGCAAGGCTATTATAGACAAGAAACAAAGAATTACAAGATGTGACCCCTGCTCTTTACACATTTGTGGTCTGGGAAACAGTTGCTGCAATGGAACAAACATAGAATTTTGGAGCCAGAGACCCAGGTTCAAATCTCAGCCCCATCATTTACTAGCTGTATGATCTTGGGACAAATCATGTAGCTTCTCTTTGCCCCAGTTATCTCTGTGTATCTAGCTATGTGCCTTAGTGCTGAGAGGTGACCAGAACATTGTTAATTAAGCTGCCTGAGACCAGACTCTCCACCATCCCATCCTGACTTCCAAAGGACCCATCACAAACACAGTAATTCCCCCTTAAGCCCCTACAATATCCTAAGCAATTTATCATATTGTCTTTAACCCCTCACAGCAACCCTGCAAAGTGGGTATTGTTTTCTTCCTTTTGCAGGATGGGACACTGAGGCTCAGACCCTTGCCTAGCTCACATAACCAGTAAACAACAGAGGAGAGTTTCAAACTCAGGTCTGACTGCAAACCTGTGTCCTTTCTAGATTATTCCTCTTGAGATATGCTTAGGGTGCCTTCTATAGGAAAATCCCAAAGAAAAAGGTAGCAGTTGTGAAGGTCCCAGAGCCTCGCCTTGAAGCCACAGAGGGCAGGTACTTGGTGGAAAACTCCAGTGCGTGATTCACCCTCCTCCCATGCCCTC